TTTTTTTCTTTATTAGTCAGTGGGCTATGCTTGAAGAGAGGCAGTAAACAAATCTAAAGAAATGAACTCAAAATGTTCAAGCCAGTCTCAGATATACCTACACAGTAGGTTGAATGGACTGACGCCTACCAGAAAACAACTACTCCCCTGGCTAATACCACGAACGGCTTTGGATTATATCCGACAGGCATCAGTGCATGATCAGTGCAATTGGCATTCCCAACAAATCCAATACTTTTTGATGATATGATCTGATATGATCAGCTCTTGACCGGATGAACACCAGTAATCATAATAATCTATCATACATATGTGTAAGCACTGTAATATCCATAATGTAGAAATGGAAAAACACAAATTAGTAACCAAAAAAATTTTTAAAATGCTTCTTTTCTTTAATCCAATTCTGATGGTATTAACTATAGTTTGTTTAGATATTGAGATAGTAATAGTCTTTATACATGTAAGCAGGATGTGTTAGCAGTAGATCCAAGGATAAAGTGATTTCATCGGCTTTTGGATATTTTCAAATTCCACATTTTGGAATACCAAAAAAAGGACTAAAAAAACTCAGATTTCCTACACAAAAAATGACTTCCGTTTGATAAAATGTTCTTTCCAATTCATTGGGAATTTTTATATGAATCCTAAGATATTATATGAAAAAGAACCATTGAGTTGCTTCGTCATCTTATTTTATTTGAAATCATAAATCGTGTGGATATATTTTCAAGAAGTAACGAAACAACGAGAACAAAAATGAAAAATCATGTCAATAACAAATACTATTTTGAATCATCCGTTAGATACTTTGATTCATTAGAGCACGTGTGGATGATTTTAATGTTTGTTAGTATATTGATAGCAAATATGTTATTTCGCAATGTACTTATTGCATATTCCGTATCTTTCAATTATTTTTCGATCATCCCATTTTTTTCTCAAGTTTTATTTTCAATTCATTTCAAAGTTGATTCAATTATAACTTCTTCTTTATTTGCGTTTCTCATTTTTGTCTTCCGTTACTATTCTAAATCTCTTAGTGCTCTTATAACTTGAAATTAACGATAATAATTATTGACTAAGCTCATCAGAATTTGCCTTGAAAATTAGTGCCGAAATTTAAAGTTGCTACATAAAAGACTGCAGTTTAAAAAAACAGTTTTATGAAATTTATCCAAGATGATTATTGAACAATTTTCAAACAATGAACATTCGTCAAAACTTGTTTTACTGCATAGTAGCTTCTTCAGTTCAACTGTTCTATGAACTACAGAATCCAATTAGTTACTATTGATTAGTTCTAGGTAAAAATGTAGATTTGGAGATGAAATAATGACAATACAATATTGGTCATTACGAATAATTCAAAACAATATTGATTTTGGAAAAGCAGATATATTTTGAAAACAATGAATGGTTAATAACAATTGAATATAGTAAATTGTTATGAAAACAAATTCAACGAGGGTGAGTGACTACCTTCTTGTTGGTTGTTTAATAGAGAATTATATTGTATATCGCTTTCCAAGGATTGCAGCAGGTGGAATTGGTTCTCTTCAGTTCAAAACTTCTTTCGTGTTCTGAAATCTTCTTATTGGAATTTCTAGTCGCTAGTAATTCAATGGTTTGATGAAAATTGCAACACGTATAAAAAATAAACATCGACCAGTCGAATATGTCTAAAAATAATATAGGAAGAATGTCTGAAAATTTCGAAACGAGAATTTTATAACACAAAAAAAAGTTCATAACTGAAGAAAACCAATTTAATATATTATTCTTAGGCACGACTCACTTGTCATTAGTCTCATCAATCCATTTGATTATTAATGATTGCGGTCATTTAGAAAGGACCTTTAGAAATTACAAAACGAGAATTTTAGAACACGAAAGTGTTGAACTGAAAAAAACAGCAATTTCGATATAAACGTTACGCGAAGAACAAAAATTGAACTTGCTGGAATTCCTGAAAATCAGTAATAGGCTGTTAAACGACTAACAAAAAGTTAATCACCCTCACTCTTGATTTTTTTTTTCATGAAAATTTACTGAAATCAATGGATATCCACCACTTATTATTCTTGAAATCTATACCTACTCGCCCATAATCAATCGTTTTGACCAATATTGATGACTACTTTTCCTTGAAATCTACCTAGTTGCCTTGAATTCATAATTTAACTGTTCATCTGTTTTCTGTTTAAAATCTGTTTTTCCGTTAATCAGCTGTCGCCCCCATACGAACGACAACTCTCAAAAGTTGAGAACTTGTGCGAGCTAAGGACTACGAAATCTTACCTTTTAATGTGTGATTCCTAACACAGAAATACTGATTGAAAACTGTTGAAAAGTTGAAGGTATCAGTTCAATTGAATAAAAGGCTACTATGTAGTAAAACCCGTTTTGTATATCGATCATTTTGTGAAATTTATTTAATTATTATCACGGATACAGACGTTGTTAAAGAATAAACCCTTCCATCCCAAGTTTGGTTTCTAGGGAAACAAACTATTTCAAACTATCTCAACTGTACTTAAAATAGTCAAAAACAAACCTTATAAACGCAAGACGCGATGTAATACGGGATTACTGAAACTTTTAGATGTTCATCTAATAAAATTATTGAAAAAAACAATATACCTCTGTTACAAAAGCAATGAAATTCCTACAATTGAAATCATTAGGGAGAAATTAAATACTTCCGGCCATAACGTGAGCTGCTGTGACAAAACTCTTCAGAGTTTGACCAACTTGGCAAGTTGGTCAAACCAATTACGAATCTGTATCAATGATGATGTAATCAATTTTAGCGATCATGTGAAAAATCTTGGTTTACATTTGGACTCAAAATTGCGATTCGACAAACATGTTACTTCTAAACTGAAAACGGCTACGCAGCTCTGAAATTGTTATATCCTCATCGAAATGAAATGAATTTAAAAACAAATAAAATGTTATCTGACTCGATGGTTTTATCACATTTCAACCACTGTGATACAGTTTATGGTCCTTTTCTTCGGAAATCTGATGCCTTTCGTATCCAAAAGGTACAAAATTCATGTCTACGTTTAATTTATAATCTCAAAAGAAGAGATAGGATTTCACATAAGCTAAAGGAAATGGGCTGGTTAAATATGCCTACATTTACGTTGTTTTTTTTTTATGAAATCCTTAAAACTGATACATCTGAATATCAGTGCAGGAGAGTCACATACAGGACAGATATTCATAATCTCAACTTGAGGAGAAAGAATCTTATTGATATACCAATGCATAATAAAGAAATATTTAAATCCTCCTTTTCTTATCAGATTGCTATAATTTCCTCTTTACTGGATATTTCCGATTTTGCATTGTCCCTGAATTCCTTCAAAAAAAAAAGAAAAAAAATCTTGTTGACTCACCAATGATACAACCTAGTGAATAAAATGCATCTTTTTAGTTTATATTTTCTAAATCAGTGGTATATTTTGAGTATAAGTTATTTTCGTTTATATTTATTTAACTAGTGATACATATGAGTATTAATTATCTATATAGGTTATAGGTACTCACTTTATCATAACGAGGTAGATTTTCATTAATGATTCATTATACAGCGTGACTCACGGTTGATGGTAGGTTAGACGTTTTTGGAAAACGCAAAGCATGATTTTTCTGAAAATTTCACCTCTCACATTTCCTTACCTGTTCGATCTAAAATATCGATCTAAAATATTTTCAGCATTGCGGCGTTGCCACTTCCATCAAAAAGTCCTAGCAACTTTATTTTTTTAAATGAAGTGATATATCGCATATGTATAATAGATACATTATTCATAGAAGGAATATATCTGGTAGCACTTAAAAATTCGAAGTCAATCCCTATATATAAAAATAAAGGTCCTAAAACTGAAGTGATTAACTACTGTAATGTTTGCTTACAATCACAAGTTGCAAAAGTCATTAATTATAGTTATTATCTGAGATTGGTGAATTTTATCGAGTACCACAAACTTATTCCGAATTGCCGACATGACTTTAGGCAGCAAAGTTCAACTTAAACAGCAATGAATGAACTTTGCAGTAACATATATACAAGTCTCAATAACAAGCAAATTCCAGTTGGCTCATTTTTTTATTTAACTACCTAGTTTCTAGCATATTCAAATACAGTCCCCTTTTAAATTTTTATCAATAAATAGAGGTCCTACTATATGGTTTCCCAATATTTCTGCCTAAACGTTATTTTTTTCTGGATATTTTTGTCTGTGAACATTGGCTTTCGAAAAAAATTTACAATCGTCACTAAAACAAATATTGTGGATATAGGTAGGACGCCTTGCAATGGTTTTCATCATTATTTCGTAGAATTTTGTTCTTCGATCAGGGTCATCTTCAGTTAATTGGTGTACCACTTTAATTTTGTATGGATAATACATATTCCTCTTCAAAATTCCCAACACAGTTGAAGGAGACACCTCACAAACATTGGCGACGGAATAAGTAGACTGTTAAGGATTTACTACCATCTCACCAATTATTTGCTCTTGCAGTTCTTCCGGAATGGACGGATGACCTGGGGGCTTTTTGTTATGTACACTACCGGTGGTAGTGAATTTGGATACAAGTTTCCTCAAATATTTTCTACAGATAAGATGATAATAAATCGTTTTATAAAAGTGGTATTGAAATGTTAGAGCAGCGCTGGAATGATTGTGTGGCCCTTGATGGAAATAACATTGATGAATAAAGCCAATTTTGAACAAATAAAAAACGCATTTTCTTTATTAGGCCCTGGACTTTTCAACCCATGTTACACTTCACGCCGCTCCACTTTCTGCAATTAACCTAATCGTCCTAATTCATTAAATGCAATTTGGTTGAGCCCCTTTTCAATTCATCAAACCGAAAATCAAGCTTGAATTCCGACGAGATGATTTAAGAGCATCCGGTGCGATTGCAAACATCGCAAGTGCGCGCGCTAAAAATAGCCCCGAACTAATAAAAACAAAAACCACATACCTTCAATTTAAGCTGCTTCCTGACCTGGTAGCCTCTGAACCCGGCCTGAATTTTGGTGGCGGCTTGCGCTTCCATGTTTTCCTCTTGCGTTTTTCCGGCTCCCTCACTTTCCATACTCTGCGCAACGAGCGGACTGAACTCATCGTGGATCCGTAAGCTTTCTTTGTGCGACGCCTGCGCGCTGCTTGCTTCGGGAGCGTCGGTGACGTCGCTGACTGAGGACGTCGACGTCACGACTTCAGGTTCTGTTACATAATGTCCAGTTGACAAGGCGAAGGTGAATAATTTGGAATTGGAATTGGGAACGGGTGTCGCAAACAAAATGGGTCACGGCAGAAAATCTTAAACGATTTCGCAAAGTATACAAATTGTTGCAGAACTATTCGTAAATATTTTTGGGAAGTCGGCTTCGAAGTTATGTATAGGTACAAAGATTTTCGAAATTGTAATATTTTTTGTTGCATGTAAATGAACAATAAACCTTTTGTAGTGTTAGGCTGTTTCAAAAGTTTCGTCAGTTTTTATTAGTCTACTTCAAACTGTAATATTTCAGTGAAAAACTTATTCAATTCAATCGAAATGAACGACATGACAAACATCATTGTGGAAACTACACGTATTATTAGAAGTATAGATGTAATGTACACAACACTTTAAGCTATTGACTCTCATGTCAGCGATACCATCTATCAGATCATAGATTTCAAATTAGTAAATTTGCATTATCAAAGGTGAGGAAATTAGATACAGATAACGTATATATTCTGAGATAAACTTAATAACTTTCGGGGGACTACTAATTACTGAAAAGTGGGAAGATGTGTATACAGCTAGTGATGTTAATGAATGTTATAATGCTTTCATACAACCCTTCTCTACTGAAAAAAAATAAAGCTAATAGAAAAAATTCTGACAAACCATAGATAAAAAGAGAAGTCAAGGACTTACATCAAATGGTATGTGATCTTTCAAAGTTAGCCAGTAATACTACAAGTGAAATTATAAAAAGTGAATATAAACAACTCAAATTTACAGTGCATTTCTTTAATGTCCCCCCTCCTCTTATTTTTTGAACGAGTCAACTTAAAAAATTTAAATTTGGGATAATAGAAAGTTATTTTCAATTTTGAAGTGAAATTGACAGAAGAAACTTTCAAGATGGCGACTGGGCGCCATCTGGAAAAAAAAATGAATGGAAAGAGGGGTCTTATGACACATAGTTTTGAAGCTTCTGACGAATACCTCCTAACCCTTGAATATGAAGTCAATACCTACTACAAAATGACGGAACATTTAATAATTGCCTGAATACATTGACATTTAACTACATATTATCAGGTAATAAGCTTGAGGTCAGTTCAGAAGATGCTCGAAATGGTTGCCTTGAGTAATATTCTATATACCTTAAATGAGCTGATTTCGATCGGGACAACCAGTTGATTTCAAACAATATTTAATCTGCGCTCGCGCTGCCCTCTATCTCAAAAACGATTCTACGTAAGAAAAAATGTTTGAAACAAAAGTTGTGAAGAATTGAATTCTCTATTTGTGTGACTTTCACATTTATAAATAAAGATAGGAGGGGATTGTGGAGACAGCTACAAGGCCGACGTTAGAGACATGCCTGACAACAACGTGTACCAATAAAGCCTATCTAGTGACAGTGCGGACCAATCAAAACAACACAGCAAAAGTGCGGACCAATCAATAGTTAGCATTGGCATGAACAACCCTCCATCGCTTCTATCAGCGTATCCACCGTCAGCCCTGCTACCGTCCCCACCATCACGCCTACCACCCTCTGAAATTATAAATACAAGTGAGCACGTAGCTCGCCAGTCAGTCGTTGCTGAGACTTCGAGATTCAACGTTCGTAATTGCAGTGAACGCACATACCACTGATTATGACTGACGCAGTAGCAAACGAAACGTTTGATACTCCAGATTCCATTCAATAAGACCTACCAGCTTGGATTTTTTCATTTCAATCATGAGTTTGGCCGTGAGAGCCTATATTCTTATATACATTTTTTACAGCAATCTGAAAATTTGACTTCACCGGGGTGTAACTAAAAAACAAACTTGTTCTTAGAGAAAATGTAGAAACGAAGAGCCCACGAGTACGATGTATTTTAACCACATAGATGTACCCAAGCTGTGGGGAGTGAAACTTACTTACTATTATAATAAATACTTGACCTGGAGCACGTAAAACTTGAACCGATACAGACGAGGCACCGCCAGTATCATTCGCCGGCTTGTGGTCAGTTTGTGATTCTGAACTCCCAACAGAATGTACATAAGAATCTACAGTGTCAGTTCCATTACACTCAGTCTCTGATGAAATTGTCTTTCCTAAGCTGGACAAACTTATTGGCACCACAATTCCATCGTGTAGTTCTCCAGTATGCAGCAGACCTACGTTAGAAAGAATTGACGATAGTTCTTCGGTGCTATCGATAGACTGTGAAGACTCGTTTCCTTGAATATTTACCACCCTTTCTTTTTCAGTGACATTTTGGAGAGATTCAGCAACTTGTTTAGATAAAGGAATAACTATTGTATCGTGCAATTCTCCCGAATGTAATAGTTTCACATTATCGAGATCTGAGGATTGCATTGAGTGTTTCTTGCTACTGTTTCCTACATTTTGAATATTCTCGATCACCTCAGACTCATGGTTTTCGTTCTTTAAGTTACTTTCTACGTAGTCGGATAGGGGTTTTCCGTCTATGATTTTGCTTTCATAAGAAGGAGCAGAAGGCATTGAACAGAACGTTTGTGGTTCATTTTTCACAGTTTCAGTATCGACATTGTTGTTCTGCAAAGCTAAATTATGATGATTGTTTACTGAAAGGGTTGGTTTTTCATCTGATGCTATTCCAGAGCAACTTTCTTCGACCACGCTCTCTAGTTTGCTTTTGGAATAATTCTCTTCGACTTTCGAGTAATTTTTTTCTTGGCCAACCGCTTTCCTCTGCAGTAAAGATGTATGTAACGTATCAATGTCTTTCATATCTTCTGCTTTAATTTCTTCTATGCGCTTCGGTGATAAAGCTCCTATTCTTTCGAAGTCATCACTGGAGTCGCTTCTTTTTCCGGATATTCTATCTAATAATTTATTCTGGTAATCATCTATCAAATTTTCATCCTTTATTAAAGGATATTCCAATATTTCGTCTAATGCTGTATTGTCGTCATCAAGATCGTCGTTATTATTGGAAAACACATGCAGGTGACTTCCATGCGAGGTGTCTTTTTCAGTGTTTTTATTGGAATCATTGACAATAATCGTACCTGTCGAATCGTTGGAGTCGATACTATCCGGTCTTTGTATGTCTTCTCCAATATTGCAATCCTCTTTTTTCTCGTCGTCTATTTTATTCTTCATCTGAAAATATTTCAGAAATATTAAAGTTTGTTCTGGATGATTTGAATATTGAATAATATGTGGCATGCGAATAATATTCTACAAAAATAATTTCAATTCAATTTCAGCCTTATTTTCGCTCATTTCAAATAACATGGTAGTGCAAAAATTGATTAGGATAATGGATGTTATGACCACTAAGAGGTTGAGAGAATGTTATTCCATCGACCTCTCTATGTTGTTGAGATTGTTTCTATAGTTTTTGTCAGATTGTACCAATCAAATGAATCAATATATGCTTTGAACTTACGAATCAAACATATGTGGTGTACTAAATTTTATGAACGGGTTTCTGTAATCAGATAATTCAGTTTCCGAAACTCCTGCTTTGTATTTGGTTGTATCAATATTTTTATTGATCTTATCTATTATTGAACCATCCCTAATTTTCGATCAATTCTAGTTTACTACACAATTGATCTGTGTTTAAATTCAATACTCCTCGAGCTGAAGTACACTTTTCGAAGTCTCTTTCAAACACCACTCTTAGAGTGTGCATGATTGGGCATCCCTATTTGAAAATGTTTGTGATGAAGATGAAGTACTTTTATGGGATTTCATCGTCGTAGAGGGGTTTATGGAATAACTGACAAAAATGAGAGAGGACTTACCTTCATCTTCAGTTGATCTACGAATTTTCTTGCCAAAAACCCTCTCCATGAAGATTGAATTTTGGTCACACATTCTCTCTTTTTGTTTTCATCAATTGCTTTTTCGTTTCTTTGACCTAAGAAAAATTAAAATATTTTACCACTACTCAGACTCTTATCTCTTGATGATGCTTAGCTTTTAGCGAAGCACGCGTCTAGAGACGTATTTCAGTTCTGTTTTTTTTAATCTGTTTAAAATATGTTTTTCCGTTAATCAGCTGTTGCTCCCATACGAACGACAACTCTCAGAAGTTGAGAAACTTCTGCGAGATAAGCACTAACGAGGTCTTACCTTTTAACGTGTAGTTTCTAAGGAAGTGATTTCAATGGAATCAAAAATAGGATTGCAACAGAAATGGAACCTTGTGCCACGTCAACATTGATAATGAAAGAGAGATATTAACCATGTTTCTCTCTCGATGAGATATGGTTAATAACCCAGCAAAATCCTGCAGTAGTCTGGGATACTGTACATGATCGATTTCTTTAGACATAAATAGTCTTTAATTACCCGTAGGTTGAGCTATCGGGCGCGTCCCCAGGAGGCGGATAGGGAAACGGCAGGGGACTAGAGGCCCTGCCCGGGAAACCAATAATAAATAATAATAATAATTTTTTATTATTTCCTTGTTAAAAAGTACATTGTTATACGTACAGTGACAAGGAAAACGTCTGAGGGTAGGACACGTTACAGAGTATAATGTTTGTAGTAATCAATAATCTAAAAATATGATACATATAGGTATATACATATAATTATTTGTTTGGCTTAGATTATGTAAAAAAAAACTATAAATAAATGAAAGTCAATTTTATCACATAGTTGTGATATTTTGTCATTAAAATATAAAAAAACAGTTTAAAATTCGTCAAGTGTGTAGCAATTTTTTTCAATAAGTGCCTTTTTCAGTCTTGATTTGAAAATGTTAAGATTTGGTGATATTTTAATTGATTCTTCTAATTTATTAAACATTTTTGGTCCAAGATAAAGAAAACTTTTCTGATAAAGAGTTGTTCTATGAATATTGGGCATCAGTTTGCCTCTAGAACGAGTTGGATAATTATGTTGCTGGAAAGGTGTATTATGCTTGTTTCTATAAACGTATATACACAATTCATAAATATAGAGACCAGCAACAGTTAGTATCTTGAAATTTTTAAAAGCATTTCTACATGATTCTCTCCAACCAATACCGGCAATGATTCTTACTGCATATTTTTGCAAAATAAATATTCTTTCAGCAGCAGATCCGTACCCCAATTCAAAATTCCATATCTTAAGTGCCAGTTTATGGTCGCATAGTATAAGCTCAGTAAAATCTCTTTACTACAAAAATTAGCCATGAATCTCAGAGCATAGCAGTTTTTTCTCAATTTAATACAGAGGGTCTCAATATGAGGAGTCCATGTGAGTTTGTAGTCCAAGGTGACGCCTAACATTTTTGTAGAAGTACAAGATTACGTGGAATACGTGGAATACGTGGCCTTACGGACGGGATCGCCGGACTCCTCGTCAGTGGCAGAAATAAGTAGGGTGAGAGGAACTAAAACTTCCCAAAAGCCTTTGCAAAATATGCCACCGTGAACTAGCCTATCCAGGCTAAGGTGTGAGGAATCATGCCGACAGCTGAATGGCCGCAGGGTGATATACAGTTACGAACGATCCCCTTGGGGAACCGGGCGAAACCTCATTGTAATCAGCCATCCTCTGGTAATACAGGGCTATGCCAGAGGTGACCAACTCTTTCCTTGCTACTCGTGAAAACACACATATATGAAACAAACAAAACAGACACAACAAAAACCAATCCCGATGCTCACCTCAATCAATGGAGGTGCCTGGGGATGAACAGAAATGTCCACCCCAATCTACTGCTCGGAATAAGGCTGGACATAGCAGATCACCTCGTGATATAATACAAAGGCGGCGCATTTGCGGCACCGAGGCCAAAAGGAGAAAGAGAGCGAAAGAGGCAGGAGTGGCAACAACTATAAGTGCACACCCCTTCCTCCCCCACTCCACCTCCAACAGCAAGGCAGGAAACCGGCTGTCCCTGCAGGAAAGCGCCCTCATTCGAACACCTCCACTAGGGGAACCCCAGGAAGGTTGTAGAAGCCGCGCAACGACAGTAATGTCGCTGCACTTCCCAAAACTTCCGCGAAGGCCACCGTGGGACGCCTCAAGGTTGCTAAAGGTGGTGTGTGTTCGGCGAGTCTTGGCCTACACCTGCCAATATAAAGGAGATGTCTCCTAGTGACCTGTACACCTTCCTGGAAAGGACAGGATGGACGATAACCTAGGAGGACAACTCCTCGGGAGAATGTACAATGATGGGTCACATGTAGCCTAGGTGCTGTGGATATACACTCACCTTCCCTACTATACATATTTTTGGTACCTTTCATTAAAAAACCTAATTCTCACACCTTTTCCAAGTAAAAAAGGTACACCTCCTCAACGCTGGAGGTGATCGTTTTCGAGATATTTACAATTTTCTATATCGATGCATATTACTTAATAGCCAAATTTGATTTCAATAATTTTTGTCACTCTCCGCTTGCAAATTAAGGTAATTAAATCGGGTAGGCTATGAAAGTTTGTTTATAAAAATAGAAGTTCGCTGTCACATGTTCAACTAATAATTGACAAATTCACAGTTCTGATTTTAGAAAGTGATTTTTTGGTACCATGCCCGACTTTACGAATGCTGAAATGGCTGATATGGTTTTTGCATACGGCTTGGCTGACGGAAATTCAAGCGAGGCCAGACGCATCTATCAAGAAAGGTATCCCCAACGCGTGACTCCTTGTGTAACGACATTTGTGGAATCTTTTCCGGCGACTTTCCGTATCTGGAAGCTTTGAAACGAATTCTGCAGTAGAACGACCACGGACTACAAAAACTGTAGAATTGGAGGAGGCGGTTCTCGAAGAAATTAGTGAACATCTAGAGAAGAGTACAAGAAAAATTTGTCAAACTTCAAATGTGAGTCAAATGACAGTTCACAGAATTTCAAAGGAACAGCAATTATATCCTTATCATATTCAGCGTGTCCAGGCACTTACGCTACGTGATTTCCAACAACGTATCGAATTTGCTCAATGCCTTCAAAGAAAAGTCGAACAACATCCGCAAATTTTATCGAAAATCCTCTTCACAGATGAGGCAAATTTTTCAAGAAATGGTATCATGAACTTCATAACAACCACATCTGGGCGTAAGATAACCCACATGCGATAACGCAAACTCATTTCCAAGACAGATTCTTTTTTAATGTATTGGTAGGCATAATTGGGGATTATTTAATTGGGCCCTATTTTCTCCCCTCATATGGAGATGCTTACCTACATTTTTTGGAACACGAGTTTCCACAACTTATGGAAAATGTTCCCATTGGTCTCCGAAATCACTCTCGGTTTATGCACGATGGGGCTCCTGCTCATTTTAGTGTGATAGCAAGATTTTTTTTAGACGTAGCATATCCCCAACGATGGATAGGAAGAGGAGGCACTGATCATTGGCCCCCGAGCTCACCGGACCTCAATCCCGTCGATTTTTTCACTAGTTTATGCTAGCCCCATTGAAAACGAGGAAATGTTGAGGGATCGCATCATAGCTTGCTGCGAAACAATAAGAAACACTCCAGGCATTTTTCAACGGGTGCGGAATTCTTTGATGAGGAAAGCAGAAGCTTGTATGTTAAATGTTCAATTTTTATATGTTTATTTTCCTAATAAATAACATAGTACATCTCCGAATTGTTTTTTACAAACTCTGAAATGTAGTATTTTTTAATTGAATAATTAAACCTGACAATTTTTTTTTGGATTGAATAAGCAGTTCGACAATGCTCAGTTTAGAAGAAGTCTGTACGGGTATACTGCGTATAAATTTTGATGGAAATAACTAAAATTGTAAAAAACCTACCATGTTTTGAAAAATTTCAGCAATCTGTATTTCGAAAAAGAATCATCCTTCGTTGAACATTTTATAGGAAAAAGTTGTTTATTTTGACGAGATCCACCACATACTTAGTTTTTGTAGTGTTCTCAGCAACTTTATGCAAATTCTTTGATATCAGAAAATTGCCGAACACTCAAAACACTTTTATACATCTGATCAACAAACTAATCATGTTAAACAGCTAAAACTAAATACAATTTTGTTTTTTATGCATAATTTGCACAAATATTATAAATGAAAGACGTTTCTACTATTTATTAACAATCATTTATTTGCCCTCAAGTTTGTAATCATTTTAGGTTACATTGATAAGTTCGACAAAATTTTTCAAAAATTAACTAACCATAAATGTGCCTATACAGTGCTTTTCTTTAATGTCCCCCCTTTTATTTTTTGAACAGGTCAACTCAATAAATTGAAATTTGGGATAATGAAATCGATGCATGAAAACTTTACTTTGAAGTGAAATTGACAGATGAAACTTTCAAGATGGCGACTGGGAACTATGACAAATGCTTCACAACCCTACAATATAATGTCAATATCTTCAACTACTACAAAATGGCGGAACTTTTAATAATTACCTGAATATATTGACATTTAACTACATAATATCAGGTAATAAGCTTGAGGTCAGTTCAGAAGATGCTCAAAATGGTTGCCTTAAAGCTTCTGACGAATACCTCCTAACCCTTGAATATGAAGTCAATACCTACTACAAAATGACGGAACATTTAATAATTGTCTGAATACATTGACATTTAACTACATATTATCAGGTAATAAGCTTGAGGTCAGTTCAGAAGATGCTCGAAATGGTTGCCTTGAGATTCTTGACATATGTACAGCCTATCCAATATTTCATGCCTGAAATTTTCAAACACAGTAACGTCAATATCTCTGCAAATATTTATTATTGGTGAGATAGTAGTAAATCCTGAACAGTCTACTTATTCCGTCACGAATGTTTGTGAGGTGTCTCCTTCTACTGTGTGGAGACTTTTGAAGAGGAATAGGTATCATCCATGCAAAATTAGAATGGTACACCAATTAACTGAAGATGACCCTGATCGAAGAACAAAATTCTGCGAAATTATGATGAAAACCATTGCAAGGCGTCCTACCTATATCCACAATATTTGTTTTAGTGACGAATGTAAATTTTTTCAATCGGTAATGTTCACAAATAAAATTGCTGTTATTGAAGTGACACCAACCCTCACGTTTTCCGGGAACCACATACCCGATATCCAGAAAAAAATTACGTTTGGGCAGGAATATTGGCAAACCATATTGTGGGACCTCTATTTATTGATCAAAATTTATCAGGGGAACTGTATTTGAATATGCTGGAAACTAGGTACTGTTGACCCTCTCTTCACTGAAATTGTCGAAGAGAATCCTAATGAGTTCGATATGGATATTATATTCCAACGAAATGAAGCACTACTACATTACTCCAGACAAGTGAGAAACTATTTGAATACTACTTTTGCCGGTCGTTGGATCGGCCGTCGAGGTCCTACAGAATGGCAAGCCCGCTCGCCAGATTTGACACTTTCGGACTTTTTTTTGGGGCTATTTGAAGCAAAAGGTATACGAAACTGAACCTGCTTCAATATTGGATATACGGCAGAGAATAATAAATATTTGTAGAGATATTGACGATACTGTGTTCGAAAATGTTCGGCATGAAATATCGGATAGGCTGTTCATATGTCAAAAAGTCCAAGGCAAACATTTCGAGCATCTCCTGAACTGACCTCAAGCTTCTTACCTCATATTATGTAGTTAAATGTCAATGTATTCAGGCAATTATTGAAAGTCCCGCCATTTTGTAGTAGTTGAAGATATTGACATTATATTCTAGGGTTGTGAAGCATTTGAAGAGCTTCAAAAAGATGTGTCACAAGACAACCCTTTCCAGTTAATTTTTTTTTCTCAGATGTCGCCCAGTCGCCATCGTGAAAGTTTCATTTATCAATTTCACTTCAAAATAAAGTATTCATGCATTAATTTCATTATCCCAAATTTCATATCGTCAATGAAATCAGGAANATCTGTCAATTTCACTTCAAAATAAAGTATTCATGCATTAATTTCAATATTCCAAATTTCTATTTTTTGAGTTGACCCGTTCAAAAAATAAACAAATAAACAAATGTAAAATGTCGTAATCATGTATGAACTCATACCTTCTGCCAAAAGATGGTTATCTAATGTTGACTTGGCATTCAAGAAAATTCCTCTATATTTTTAATACATTTACTCAGGACATTCTAACTTGAAAAGAGACAGGTTGTAACTTATAAAAGTACCTAAAATGTACAAAAAGTACCACTAAATCCATGAAATTGAAGTTCTGTGAATGTGTACCACTTGTAAATATTTTTATGACTTAGAGTACAATCACCGTATGCCACTCTCAACATTTCAAGTGTTTTAAGCACACAAAATTTTATGCAAATTCTTTGATATCAGAAAATTGCCGAACACTCAAAACACTTTTATACATCTGATCAACAAACTAATCATGTTAAACAGCTAAAACTGCGAATATATATTCGATACGTGTTAAATTTGAACATTTACCTAATTTTTTTACCTGCACTGAGATCTATACTAACTCATACAAAACCGAACGACACAAGAAGAAAAAACAAAGAATTGCATTTACGAGTATGAGATACCTCGTTCTTGTGATAAAAATAATATTGGTGGAACCATTAGAAGTGCGTGAGAAATAGAAATTTAATAGGATCAAAATTATCAGAAGACATATTGAAATCAGACTATTTTAGGGGACTCAAAGAATCAGCGTTATTCTCATATCTGGAGAAAATTGTATTTTTAACTGCTTCTTAGAAATGTATCATACTTGGCTACGCGTATTGAAGAAAAATATGGATAGTGGCAAAATTGCGACAGACTGATATCAGAGATCAGAGTAATCGAAAAATTCAGAATTCAATCAACAACATTGACATGTTCAAAATTCCTTCGACATCTATCGACGACGTTCGAAAATAAAAAGGTCATTTTAGGGAGTTTGCTTAGGAAAGTGGACATACCCAGCTGTAAATTTGTATAAACTTCGTATTTTGGCATCATAAAAGTATTCACAAAATTCACATATGATTCGACGGCCGCAACTTCAAAAATTCGGGGTCAAAAGTCAAAAAAACGACTTTTTGCAGGTTTTTTGCCAGTATCTCGTTTCCAATGAGATTTATGCTAATTGTATTCATAATCAATATTGTAGAAAATTAAATTCTCTACAACTTTTGTTTCAAACATTTTTTCATATGTTGAATCGTTTCCGAGAGGACAGCGCGAGCGCAGATTAAATATTATTGGCAGTCAACTGGTTGTCCCGATCGAAATCAGCTCATTTAAGGTTTATGAATTATTACTTAATAAATAATTATGAATAATTTTCATTTTCTATGAACAAATACATTATATTTGAATATTTTTTTCATTAATTATTTATTTTCAATTAAGTATCAATTTATTCAATAACACTTACCTGCCCGTGTAGTTAACCGACAACTGACAACTTTGATACTGTCAATTGTTCATTTTTGATATGATTCCAATATTGGTTCTCCATTTTTTTTCAGATTGTGGTTAATAAAAAAAACTCATTTCCACCACAAAAAGTAACTTTCATTCAATATTATCATATTATTTCTTCGAGTTTTTAAAATGAATGACATTCCGCAACATAAATATCATTTTGATGGTGATAAATTAAAAATGAATTTTCAGTAATGAAAAAATAACAGTTTTTTTTCAATAATTCTTCAAATAGGATTCAAAGTCTACTCACCTGGATGAGTTAATGTATTGTCAGTGTTTGAAGCATCAACTATGTGCTCTTTCGTCTTCACCCCTTCATGCTTTTCCAAACCATTCACGGATACAACCTTTATATCCTCTTCATTTCGACCATTGTCACTATTCAATGGAGGAACGAGATTCTGAGTATGTTTTGCTTCAGAACCATCAATCATTTCATCTTCTTCATTTTTTACCAATGGCTTTAGACTTGGTATCAGTCCTTCTTTGATTTCATCAACAGTCGTTTCATCTTCACCGATTCCACTTCTTGTACTCGTCATCTTTTTTCTTGTAATGAAACCACGCCATAACTTTTGTATTCTTATCGCGGCTCTTGTGGCTTTAAAAACATCATCATCATCATCAATGTTTCTCTTGGTTCGCACACTCTCTGATGACAATACTTCAGGAGCGTCATCATTATTTTTTTTGTCAGAGCTAGTATCTGGTTCAGATTCAACCAATTCCTGTTTTTCATCTGCACTAACATTTGAATTTTCATCTCGATGTACCAATGATTCCTTACCATTTAATAGATGAGGAAAACTTTTCCTGACAATGAAACCTCTCCACATCGATTGGATTCTGACAACAGCTGCAGCTTTAGCTAATGAACTAGAATAGCCATTATTGTTTGTAGACTTTTTTAAAAGAAAGGTGTGATCTAATTCTTGTTGAAGTAAGTGTTTGTAGCTGGTTCGTTTTGAATCTTGTTCCTCTTTTTGTAGCTTTTCTCGCACTTTAGATCTGTCAAACTTGTTTGATTCTAATCCATTGGGTTTGACGTCGTTATCAGCTTCAGATTTGGTATCGTTGCTTTTGATTTCAGTTATGTTACCTCGTACTCTCTCATTCTCCCCGACATTGTAGTTTTCTTCATTCGCACCAAATTGTTTACTTCTCTCATTACTGATGAAATCATTGATAAATTTTTTCGCTGGTGCAGAAATCATTCCAGTTTCAGCTATTGATAGAGTTGAGATAATGTTCTTTTCCAACTCATTTCGTTCAGTACTATCGGTTTCCTTTTCAATAACAGATTCTTCTGCAGAAGATAAATCCAATTCTTCGCGTAGTTTGGATCGATCGAAGCTACTTTGGTTCTCACTTCCATTCTTCTGAACATCTGGTGATGAATGAGATTCATTGTTTTTTTCTAACTCCGAATCTGTTGGTTGATCATTTTCCATACCATTCACTATTTTTTGTGAAGTATTTGTATAATCTATGTCCATATGATCATTATCGTATTTCAATTTCTCCTTATCAATAACGTAGTTAATATAGTTTTTGGCCACCTTGTCTATTATTCCAACGTCTGCTTCATTCTTCGCATTATTTTTCTTTGTAAGATCTGTCAAAGCAGTTTCATCATCACTGGAAATATTTTCATTATTGAAAACATTCTCAGATGTTTTCTTATTCTCCCCATTTTCATCCTGTTCTAGTTTCGCTTCTGTATCACTTCTCTCATTATCATCATGTTCAAACTCATTCTTAGGATAAGCCTCAAAATCTTGGGTAACGTTTTCTTGTGCATTGACATGAGTATCTTCATTTCCAACATTATCTCCACTTTTCCCCATCAACTCTTCTTCCCCACATTTACTTTTTTCATTTTCCACGAGTTCCTTTTTTGTTACTGTGATATTTATGTGATTATGGTCAGTTTCTGAATCGTCCATTTTTGTTCCACCAGAAGATTGTTTACTATTTTCTTTGGAATCATCGCATTCCTTGGAAGACTCAGATTCACATTCAGATACTTTGATTTCATTGTCAACTGCGATAGTGTCATTCAGTTTATCAATTATCTCAGTTCCATTCTGGTTTTTTGTTTCCTCATCATTTATTTTCATTTCCTTGGAGCCACATAATTTGTTTGGATTGACAATATTTTTTGTATCAGAGTCATTTGGTGAATGAATAGGCAGTTCTTGTGTTTCCGTAGATACTTTTTCCTCATTTCCTATCTGGATCAAACTCTCTCCCCTAGACATATTGTCATTTTGTTGAGAATTCACATGATCGCTTTGTGTTTCAACCTGATCAGTTTCTCTTTGGTTGACATTGTTTCTGACCTCATCTTCACTAGAACCATTGTCATCTTGTAAAGAAGTCTCATGATCACTTTGTGTTTCATCCTGACCAGTTCCTCTTTGGTTGACAAGTTTACCCACATCATTTTCTTTTTGACTCAGAATCTCTCCACTAGAACTCTCATCATTTTGCTGAGATTTCTTCTCATCAATTTCAGTTACAACCTGGTCAGTTTCCTCTTGGTTGACAATTTTTCTCACCTCGCATTCCGAAGATACCAGATTTGATTCAACCGATTTCATGATTGGTTCTTCACTCTCGCTGTTTCCAGTATCATTTGAAGTTTTTTGTTTTGTTTCTGAAAGAGTTTGTATATCATTTGCCATAACTGATTCATTTTTTTCATTTTCTCCTTCCTCAATGTGGTCGTTTGTATGAGTATTTTCGTCTACATTCAACTTTTTCTCTACAGAATCAGCTTCACTCTCCATATCAGATAATTCCTGATCATTTGAATTGCCGTTTGACTTTTCGATTTTTCCATCATCGTTTTTGACTGGTATTTTCTGAGGATCCAAAATAGTTTCAGATCCATTACTCGTATCGTTTTCAACTATCTCTTTTTTCTCTGTAAAATCGTCTTCAGAAATACTTTTATTTTTATCACTGCTCATACTGCTCAACTGTTTTTGACCGGTGCTCGTATCTGAAATGTTATGTTTCTTTCCATGTTTATCTTTCTCATTTATTTCACATTCTGGAGACGCAGTTTCCAGAAGAGGATCATTTGAAACCTCAAACTGTGTATTTCTTTCTCCAATATCCGTTGCATTACCTGTCACTTCTCTCTTTTCGATTGTTTCCTCTGGAGATTCATCAGTTTTATTTTTCTCAAATTGTGAAAATTGATCACTCTGTGCTTTCTCTTCTTTTTTACTATCGCCTATAGGGTTCTCACTCGTAATGATTCTTGAGCTATCATTATGGCTATCATCCTCATCTTTTTGGCTTCTTTCAAGAACATCAGTAACATCTTCTTTTGATTTGTTTGTCGCACTTGTTTCTCCATCGATAGAAATATCACCATCCATTTTTCCTTTTTTCTCTGCGTCCACTTCATCAGTCCCAATTCCTCCAATAACTTCATTTCCACAGACAGAATCGATATTTCCTTTGGTGGAAACTTCACTTTCATCTAGTTTCTCAGAAACGTCTGATTTTTCAACGATAGCTGATTTTTCTCGATCACTTACAATTTCCATCGAATGATCTAATTCATTTTCTATCACTTCTGAATCAATCAATCCATCATTTGTTTTTTTCTCATCAATCTTCTTATCTGAAACTGGACTCGCAATCTCATGGAATGAAGAACCTTCATCAACAATATTTTCAATTTGACTTTCTTCATCAATTATTTTGTCGGAATCATCTCCTTGTTCAATTTTTTTATTAGAGTTCTCAATTTTGCTTTCATCGAAATTCAGTAGTTTCTCGGTTGTATTTTCTTGAAGTGCCATATCTCTGTTAAAACCATCTTTATCTAATTCCCTATCAGAAAGTCCTGTATCTACTTCTTTATCATTCACAAGATCACTTGTATTTCTTTTTTCGCGTACAACTGTAACATCATCTTCTAATGGTTTTTTGCTTTCATGTGCAATATCTTCATTGAATTCAGCAAGAGTGTGGTTTACTTCTTCAACTGTTTCTAAATTACCCATTGAATCTTTCACAGTTTCATTGATTTTCTCAGATATAGGACAACTATGTTCATCAAAACCTTTTTCTCCATTTTCACTTTCCATCGTTAGGTCGTCCAACGTGCCTGAAGGAGATTTACATTTTTCAGATGAGTCATTGGTTTTCGAATCACCTTCGATGATTTCAGTTGTGTTTTTCTCTTCTATTTCTGGTAAATTATCGAACTTCCTCTCAACATTTTCATCACTTTCAGTTGTTTCTTCGATGTTGTTTTCATTAGTACTGACTTTATCTGTAATTTTTTCCGCGCTATTATGCAGAATATCTGTTTGACCGATTGATTCTCCGCTTGTTATGGTTTCCACAGGCTGATGGTCTACGTTTCCATGTGTTGAATGAGTGGACTGTCGAGTAATTTTTGTTTCAGCATGGGAGCTTTCATTCCTTCCTTGAATTGATTCATTCATATCATGTCCTGTTTCCATAATTGATTTTGTAACTGCAGCTGTTTCATCTTTCTTAGAGATTTTCTTTTCTTCTGAAAACTTTCTAGTTGCAACTCCAGTTATTGGAATATTTTTTGTCAGGCGGGAGTGTTGCTGAAGTTCTTTCGAAACGTTATTTTGTTTACCACCATTTTTGTTTTTATTATGATTTTGATTGGATTCATCGGGTACTTCTTTGTTTTCCTTTCTGGTAATGCTTCGTTTCCTAATCGGGTTTTTCGGTATGTTACTGTTCGTATCTACTATTTCTTTCTTTCTCTCTGTTGATACGCTTCGCGAATATTTTTTTCTAATTGCAGTGTTTATATGGTTTTCGGGAATAGTAGTAGGGCCGGTATTTCGTCTCTTGTACTTCGATTCGTTTCTATCGTACATCTTGGGTTTCTGGGATATTATTGGGGAATCGAAATTTCTCGCAGGAGACTCACCCCTCACGCTGAATTGGCNCAGAATAAGGCCGCTGAAGCCACAAGAACTGGCTTGTTTGGATGCGGAGGTTGATAGTGTTCTAACAGAAGAGATTGACATCTGGCAAATCAACACCGCCATGTATAGCGTCGTCCAATCGCTTTCCGAATCGGAAGGATGAAATTCCGGCCTTGCGATTCGGAAGATTGAATGGCGTGTACATTAGATGGAGGCTAAGACCACGTCGGCGAGACAACATGCGTCTCGTATCCAATGTGTGATGGATTCCAGGGCGGCCAACAGGCCTTTCACACCCGCCCTTCGGCGAATAGCCGCCAAACTACAATGGACCATCCAGTCAAGGCATACTACTGACCACCAAACAGCAGTGCCTTAATAGGATGCGAATTCTAGTGGCTGCGAAGAAGTCACTAGTGAACCGAGCGAGAAATATCGCGGAAAACCTTAGGTTCCGCGAGAAACCTTCTCGCTTATTCCAAAAGCCTCCACGTATTGTGGATAATCCGCCGACCACTGATCAGGTGAAATCATTCTGAAAGGATATCTATGAACACCCGCAGCTACTCAACTTAGATATAGCGCAGTTTGAAGCCTTCAACAGAGAGCTTCCACAGCCTGAGCTCAATGAACTGCGCAACCTGATAACCCCGGATGACGTTCGAAGAGCCCTTGTGGGTCCCAAGAGCTTTGCTGTTCCAGGCCCAGATGGGCTGAGCACTTACTGGTGGAAAAAACTAACAAGCACCTACCGCCATCTGGTCAGAGTTTTCAACTCATGGTTGCATGGAGATCAGCCGATTCCGGATTGGTTTGTCGAAGGGTGGACCGTTCTCGTCCCCAAAAGCGGAGATTTGTTGATTCCTAAGAATTACAGACCGATAACATGCTTGAATTCATGTTATAAGCATCTTATACACCGAGTAGTTCGAACAGATATATGAGCAGAGAGGGTCGAAGAGAGAAGTCGCTGGATGTAAAAAGAACCTGCTCATCGACAGATGTATAACGCAGAACTCTATACAATATATGCGCAACCTCTCTATGGCTTGGATCGATTACCATAAGGCATTTGATACAATATCGCATGAGCTCATCTTGCTTTTTCTCAGATGCCTTGCGGTACCCGACAAAATAGTGAGATGCATTGAACAACTGATATGGCGAACTCGCTTCACCATAACATCTGGTCAAGTCAGAGTTCAAACAGGGTGGGTCACTATCAGAAGGGGTGTATTTCAGGGTGTTTCCCTTAGTTCCATTCTCTTCTGCATCTCACTATTGCCATTATCCATTGCGCTGTGGTATCCCTGGAAACCGGAGGCACAAGGTCACCCATTTGTTTCATATGGATGATCTTAAACTTTATGCGTCTGGAAAGAAGGATCTCCATCAGTCCTTGACGGTGGTGGAAGAGTACACGCATGCTATCGGTATGAATTTCGGGATAGACAAATGTGCAATGGTCCATCTCAAAAAGGACGATGCGGGGACTACGGAGAGGATGTACAACTCGAAGATGGAAGCATCCTACACCATTAAGATGTCGGAGAGACGCATACTTACTTCGGGGTGAAACAACGCCACTCACAAGAGTTAACAGCAGTGAAGAACTCACCGCGGCAAGTATCAGCACAAACTTCGACAGATCTGTATCCCAAATCGTCCATTCCGCGGTTGTATATCCCCCGACGACAGGAAGGTCTACAGACACAATGGTACTGGATGTAGCCTATAAAGTCGTCAGGAGTTTGGATCTCCTTCTCTGCATGGTCCGCGACCATGAGAGATCAGGAATTGGAGCATTCCTCCTTAGGGCAGCTGCCCAAGCAGCTGATGAACTCGGTTTAGTTTTCAACACTGCACGATATGATAACAACTCTGTAATCATGTTGAAACCCGTTCAGCAATAAGCTCATAATAAATCCGCAGATGTCACCTCACTTCTGCGGAAACACAAGGATAAGCCAATGCATGGGGTCTAATTAAATAACATTGAAAACTTCGGCTTATCAAAGCGCCAGACTTTCGCTTTCCTCAGGTCGAGTGGGCTGAAGTCGGAAACTGAGGGGTTCATCATAGCTTGCCAGGATGGTATCTTCAACACTTTAGTCTACCGCAGTCGCGTGATGGGTATAGAGGTTCCTGACACAAGGTGCGCCTGCCACGAGGAGCCCGAGATCCTAATGCACCTGCTATCAGCTTGTCCAGCATATGCGATCTCGGCCTATATCCATCGACATAACGCGGCCCTAAGAGTGCGGCACTCTTACTGTATTGACGAGACATCGGTATTGCCCTACACTCCAGGGGATATTGAATCCGTTATTGGGAACGAGAAGTGCCGAATTTATTGGAACTGTTCGTTCCCCACCCTCAGACTCATACAAGCTAATAAGCTGATGTAGTCCTTCTCGACCACCAGAGCAAAAAGATATTTGTCGTGGAGTTTTCAGCTTCTGACGAGACGAATATTGTCCGAAAAGAAGAGGAAAAACGGATAAAATATCGAGATTTTCTCTTCGATCTCCGCAGACTCTATCCAGATCACTCTGTCAAGATGGTTGTTCTGATTATTGGGGTCCTTGGTGGAATGATGTCCTTTCTACTCGTTCGAATCTTAAAATCATACCGGCTTGTCGCACTAAGGCAGAAATCTTAGCCGCACAGATGCAGAAGGCTGTCATTCTTGGCTCACTGCGCTTGCTCAGGGCACATGATTCTCAGACCCAATGATCACGTACCCCACGGTGTGGGGAGTGGTCATTGGTTGATAATGCTGGCGCGCCCTCCCAAATGTATCGAGGCTTCGGGGGATAGGGCCTGACCAGCGCACACTGCGGTGAAAAAAAAAATAATAATATCGTCTTTATTATTTTCAAATACATTTTTCAAGCAAATTAATCAGGTAAAATGTGATTGTTATGTGAAGACAAAAGGCGAAGTTCAATTTGCATGATGACAAGTCATCATTCAACTACTCTTCCACTCAACCTCAATAGTTTACAGTGCAGTGAGATTCATACCATTATTCGAAGAAAATTATTTTTTATGATCATCTGTAAATAATTGATACAACAAAAAATTTCCATTGCAATATCTTGAAAATGATTCAATGCACGTTAATTTCAAAATAGAAAATTCGATAAATTCAGTCTTTCTGTAGCAAGTGCGATGGAAGGAAAATGTTTGTTTACTGTTTTTTCATAATCTGTAACTCATACATTCCTGGCTAGTTCTCTTAAACACAGTCGTATTCAAGCCAATGAATAGTTGCAATGATAAACGACCTATAAAGCAAGGTATTTACAGAGTATCAAATTGAAAAAAAGCCATCAATCATCAATGCATAGAATAAGTATGTATCTAGTTGAAGCTGGGATGATTCTGCAACGTTACATGACTACGAACAGCCCTGATTCTCCATAGGTGACTCGGGGAGTTATAAACATCACATACCCAGAACACAAGGCTAATGTAGCGTTTGCGTACGTAATGTCGAAAAAGCACTATCGATTTGGGTGCGGTTTTCACTAATCTATTGAGATAAGACCGTTTGACTTTTCGATTTTTCCATCATCGTTTTTGACTGGTATTTTCTGAGGATCCAAAATAGTTTCAGATCCATTACTCGTATCGTTTTCAACTATCTCTTTTTTCTCTGTAAAATCGTCTTCAGAAATACTTTTATTTTTATCACTGCTCATACTGCTCAACTGTTTTTGACCGGTGCTCGTATCTGAAATGTTATGTTTCTTTCCATGTTTATCTTCCTCATTTATTTCACATTCTGGAGACGCAGTTTCCAGAAGAGGATCATTTGAAACCTCAAACTGTGTATTTCTTCCTCCAATATCCGTTGCATTACCTGTCACTTCTCTCTTTTCGATTGTTTCTTCTGGAGATTCTTCAGCTTTATTTTTCTCAAATTGTGAAAATTGATCACTCTGTGCATTCTCTTCTTTTTCACTATCGCCTATAGGATTCTCACCCGTAATGATTCTTGAGCTATCATTATGGCTATCATCCTCATCTTTTTGGCTTCTCCCAAGAACATCAGTAACATCTTCTTTTGATTTGTTTGTCGCACTTGTTTCTCCATCGATAGTAATATCACCATCCATTTTTCCTTTTTTTTCTGCGTCCACTTCATCAGTCCCAAGTCCTCCAATAACTTCATTTCCACAGACAGAATCGATAGTTCCTCTGGTGGAAACTTCACTTTCATCTAGTTTCTCAGAAACGTCTGATTTTTCAACGAGCGCTGATTTTTCTCGATCACTCACATCTTTCATCGAATGATCTAATTCATTTTCCATCACTTCTGAATCAATCAATCCATCATTTGTTTTTTTCTCATCAATCTTCTTATCTGAAACTGGACTCGCAATCTCATGGAATGAAGAACCTTCATCAACAATATTTTCAATTTGACTTTCTTCATCAATTATTTTGTCGGAATCATCTCCTTGTTCAATTTTTTTATTAGAGTTCTCAATTTTGCTTTCATCGAAATTCAGTAGTTTCTCGGTTGTATTTTCTTGAAGTTCCATATCTCTGTTAAAACCATCTTTATCTAATTCCCTATCAGAAAGTCCTGTATCTACTTCTTTATCATTCACAAGATCACTTGTATTTCTTTTTTCGCGTACAACTGTAACATCATCTTCTAATGGTTTTTTGCTTTCATGTGCAATATCTTCATTGAATTCAGCAAGAGTGTGGTTTACTTCTTCAACTGTTTCTAAATTACCCATTGAATCTTTCACAGTTTCATTGATTTTCTCAGATATAGGACAACTATGTTCATCAAAACCTTTTTCTCCATTTTCACTTTCCATCGTTAGGTCGTCCAACGTGCCTGAAGGAGATTTACATTTTTCAGATGAGTCATTGGTTTTCGAATCACCTTCGATGATTTCAGTTGTGTTTTTCTCTTCTATTTCTGGTAAATTATCGAACTTCCTCTCAACATTTTCATCACTTTCAGTTGTTTCTTCGATGTTGTTTTCATTAGTACTGACTTTATCTGTAATTTTTTCCGCGCTATTATGCAGAATATCTGTTTGACCGATTGATTCTCCGCTTGTTATGGTTTCCACAGGCTGATGGTCTACGTTTCCATGTGTTGAATGAGTGGACTGTCGAGTAATTTTTGTTTCAGCATGGGAGCTTTCATTCCTTCCTTGAATTGATTCATTCATATCATGTCCTGTTTCCATAATTGATTTTGTAACTGCAGCTGTTTCATCTTTCTTAGAGATTTTCTTTTCTTCTGAAAACTTTCTAGTTGCAACTCCAGTTATTGGAATATTTTTTGTCAGGCGGGAGTGTTGCTGAAGTTCTTTCGAAACGTTATTTTGTTTACCACCATTTTTGTTTTTATTATGATTTTGATTGGATTCATCGGGTACTTCTTTGTTTTCCTTTCTGGTAATGCTTCGTTTCCTAATCGGGTTTTTCGGTATGTTACTGTTCGTATCTACTATTTCTTTCTTTCTCTCTGTTGATACGCTTCGCGAATATTTTTTTCTAATTGCAGTGTTTATATGGTTTTCGGGAATAGTAGTAGGGCCGGTATTTCGTCTCTTGTACTTCGATTCGTTTCTATCGTACATCTTGGGTTTCTGGGATATTATTGGGGAATCGAAATTTCTCGCAGGAGACTCACCCCTCACGCTGAATTGGCGTGAAAGTTGTTTCGTTACTCCAACAACTGGAATTTTCGTTGGAGGTCTTTTTTCCCGTTGGTCGGTTAGTGACTGAGCACTTCTGATTGTTGTCACTATAAAAAGTCAGGTAATTAGTATAGATTAGTACAGGTACATCAACACACGATGGAATAACACATCTAACGAGTGAAATATATGATGCAATGGACAGGACAATTTCCGCAATTACCATTTTCGTGGATCTAGCTAAGGTTTTTGATACCGTAAATCACACGGTTCTTCGTGAAACTTTGGAAGGCATCGGTTTCAAAGCAATCAGCCGAGGTCTAATGAGCAGTTATCTTAAAAATCAAAAGATGTGCGTGAAAGTGAACAGGGAAAGAAGCGGATTCAGATTTATTCATTATGGAGTACCACAGGGAACCCTGTTGGGGCCATTTTGTTTACTATTCATGTAAACGAGTTATTCCATTTACCGATAAATGGAGAAGTAATCCATTCCGCGGATGATTTTACAGAGTTTTATGGAGCTGAAACATTGACAGCCACCTCCAATGAAACATACGAGCTAAATATCTTACAAAAAAACTACGACTTCTCACTCCCGTATATAAAAATGTCTGAAATGATTACGCTCAACTATTCTTTGATACAACCTCATTTATCATATGGGATAAATGAATGAGGCGGTCTCACGTAATAATAGTGCGCTGGCTAAACCGTATCGATACTCAAGTGACAAATTGTTCCTGAAAATGGAGTTTTCGACATTAGGCAATGTCAACGGGAAGAAATCCAAGCGGCACAGATTGAAAAAAAAAAGATCTTCCAGGGCAATTCAATTATTTTTCAATAAACCCAGTTTCAAAAATGTCCGGCCTGTGCCAATGTGTTTATAGTGGTATAGTGCACCTGCTGCATTCATACCTGTAATGCAGTAATACGCGTTTCCTAGCAGCAAGTAACGTTAAAAATGTCATTCCATTATTTGCTGATTGATAACAATCTCAGTGTTACTAAGTGTTACCAATAAAGTACCAAGACTTCTGCCTGCTGGTTGCTTGACTTTTTACTGGGGGTAAACTTTCACTTATAACTCACCACTACTACTCATTTGAGTTCAGGAAGATCCACGCCGCCTCAGGAACTCCGAGCACAACAACAGCGTGCAAATGAAGAAAGGAGACAATCTGAAGGCTGCAATGCGAAATGCCGCATTCCTCTATCAAGGGAAGACCAACAAGAACAGCGGAGACGCCTGCTCCTGCCCCCGACCTGAGTACATCAAGCGCAGCGGTAAATTCTGGGGTAGGCTTCCTGTCGGTTCAGGGAAGCAAGTAATGCCGGGCTTTGGCTCGGAATCACTAAGGGGGGATCAGTTAACCTTAAAACTATGGCTATGTTTTGACCGGTATGCAAGATCCTCCTCATGCAACGCTGTATCAGCACCAGTGTGTGAAATTTGGAAACAAGAGTGGCTCGCAGCGCGCATTACTGCGCTACAGACAATCGTGTGGAATCAGAAACAGGCAGCACTGTATTCACTGTGGGAAGTATTATGAAACCTTCTGGGAGGTGAGACTACATGAAAGACGTACCCACCCCGAAAAATACCACACAAAGAGCTGCAGGTCCTTTTGCCCGAGGAGGAAACGCCTGGCGGCCATTGAGGCCTCTACTTTGCCAGACAGGACATTCAATTGTTATATGGAGACAGCCAGCAAGTTAAACAAAGACCAAATATATGGAAGGCGGAAACTGGGCTATTTATCAAGTCCGGGCATGGTTACCGGTGGGAATATCACAGCGGGTGAAGAAGTATCCCTGTTGGAAACAACATTCGCTGTCTCAAGTGCAATATCAAGTTTAGACGAACACCGGCTGCTAGCAGCCCTTTGCTGGCACCTCTACCAAATGTATTAACAACGAAAAGGCCGGCAATACACAGTTTTCAAGTTGCCGGCCCTTCTTCTGCTATAGAGTTCGCAACTATATCGTCACTGTCTCACGAGACAGAGACCGATGATGGTTCCTCTCTCTTGGAGACCCGAGTACGAAACTTGGAAGAGAAATGGGTCTGATATCACCCCGTCGTCGCCCGGAGAGTAGTCTCAAATTCAGAAGCCCAAAACGGTCATAGATCTCAATAAGCCCACTGCCAACATCATATCAAACATGCATCTGCCGACCTCAATTGTAAGCACTACTATTACATCGCAACTCTCTTCTGATAGTACATCATCCACTGCCATACCTCTCAACCTAGAAATCTTTATTTTGCGTCTGCAGAACAAGCTTGTGGAGGAGTCACATGGCCGGCCGAATGAATACGGTTTTTTACAGTTGATCGAGCCTGGACTTGAAATGGATGATGCCAACTTGGCTAAATTCTCAACTGAATGAATTGGTGTCTCCTTTTCGATTGTAGCGGGCTGTTTAAAGGGAAAAAGGATGCGTCGGAGCAAGTTTCCTAGCAACCGGCCGGGGCTCTCAAAGCCAGGACGGAACTGGTAGTAAACGAAACAGGAAACGAGATAGACAGGCCGAGTGCTATGGCCAAAACTATACAGGCATAGGTTATCATGCAGCCAATTATGAAAAAGTATACGAGGAATTGAACAAATTCGAATATACGGTTGGTTACCTCGTTCACGGACAGATGGAGCGATGACAAACATGTTGTTGGTCGTTCGCTTCAGCCTAGTTCGAGGAATTGTACTCTGAAAGGAATTCAATTTCTAATTATGACACTAACTTGCACTGACAAGTGGATAAACAGCCCAAAACCGGTCTCAAGTGTGTTCCAATAATTGAAAATCGTTTCTGGCAGTTGTATTTGCTAGCAAGTTTCCTAGCAACCGGCCGGGGCTCTCATAGCCGGGACGGAACTGGTAGTAAACGAAACAGGAAACGAGATAGACAGGCCAAGTCCTATGGCCAAAACTATACAGGCATAGGTTATCATGCAGCCAATTATGAAAAAGTATACGAGGAATTGAACAAATTCGTTCACGGACAGATGGAGCGATGACAAACATGTTGTTGGTTGTTCGCTTCAGCCTAGTTCGAGGAATTATACTCTGAAAGGAATTCAATTTCTAATTATGACACTAACTTGCACTGACGAGTGGATAAACAGCCCAAAACCGGTCTCAAGTGTGTTCCAATAATTGAAAATCGATCCCGGCAGTTGTATTGACAACAGCATATGCAGAAATAGCTTCAGGAAAGAATCCTGCACTGACACCTGTCGGATTAATTCCAATGCCCTTCGTGGTATCAGCCAGAAAAGTAGTTGTTTTCTGATAGGTATCAATCAATAAACCTTAACTTAAGACTGACCTGAACGAATTGTTTTTATGGGTAATTTCATTTACAGTCTTCAAGTATGCCCGTTCACTTCATGTGGGGTTTTTTATTCGTTTGTATAAAAAAACGTTTGTGCTTGATCTGAACAGTTTTGTGAAGAGGTTATTTTGAATTTACATGTATCTTTTTTTTTCGGAAGGTTTTCTTTTTTATATGAAGAAGGAGAAGTAGCTTTTTCCATGTTTTGTACAAGTTCATAATCTCTTTTCATAACTATTATTGAGTTATGAACACATTTCAACATTATGATAAAATCAAAATATCATATTGTATCCTAAAGGCAAGTTCAAGAGGAGCCACGGGTGCAATTTATGGCAGAAGGGCAACGCATTTTAATTAACTGTTTCTTGGAAATCACGAATTCAAAAATCGAAATTTTGACTTCAATCCTGAAATTTATTCGACTTTATATTCTGAAGTCTAAATTTTGAAGAAAATTGATGAATGCCTGCCGAAAAAATAACTGCTTTTCCGGTTTTTATCACGCTGGACGTGAGAAAAGCCGTTTTTTTTTCAGCAGGCATTTACAAAATCATAACTCTATATTTGCTTCGCCGTAGTCGTTTTGAAGAGAAATAGATATACAACGTTTCTATCAAGTAAAATGTATATAACAGATTGCAATTTCATCAGTATCATCAAAAACCTGTTGAAATTACCTTTATTTTGACCCTTATCTCTAAGCAACAGAAGTCGAGCGAAATATTTTGCAGCGAAAAAATAAATATCATCAGGTTTTTTTAAGAGTACTTCTTTCACCAGACCTTCCATCATTTCTTCTAGGCCAATCGGAACGCTCACCCTTTTCACTATCATTTCACCCGTTTCGGTATCCATCTCTATCTTCAAGAACTAAATTATGATCTGAAATAAAACGGAATCAAGATGAATTTTCTTATCGAGAATGAATATAGTTATTATTGAAATTTGAATGGCATGACGAACATATCAGAAGGAGGCCCCATGAGATGTAATAACGCAGGCCGCTCCAAAGAATAAGGCCGCTGAAGCCACAAGAACTGGCTTGTTTGGATGCGGAGGTTGATAGTGTTCTAACAGAAGAGATTGACATCTGGCAAATCAACACCGCCATGTATAGCGTCGTCCAATCGCTTTCCGAATCGGAAGGATGAAATTCCGGCCTTGCGATTCGGAAGATTGAATGGCGTGTACATTAGATGGAGGCTAAGACCACGTCGGCGAGACAACATGCGTCTCGTATCCAATGTGTGATGGATTACAGGGCGGCCAACAGGCCTTTCACACCCGCACTGCGGCGAATAGCCGCCAAACTACAATGGACCATCCAGTCAAGGCATACTACTGACCACCAAACAGCAGTGCCTTAATAGGATGCGAATTCTAGTGGCTGCGAAGAAGTCACTAGTGAACCGAGCGAGAAATATCGCGGAAAACCTTAGGTTCCGCGAGAAACCTTCTCGCTTATTCCAAAAGCCTCCACGTATTGTAGATAATCCGCCGACCACTGATCAGGTGAAATCATTCTGAAAGGATATCTATGAACACCCGCAGCCACTCAACTTAGATATAGCGCAGTTCGAAGCCTTCAACAGAGAGCTTCCACAGCCTGAGCTCAATGAACTGCGCAACCTGATAACCCCAGATGACGTTCGAAGAGCCCTTGTGGGTCCCAAGAACTTTGCTGTTCCAGGCCCAGATGGGCTGAGCACTTACTGGTGGAAAAAACTAACAAGCACCCACCGCCATCTGGTCAGAGTTTTCAACTCATGGCTGCATGGAGATCAGCCGATTCCGGATTGGTTTGTCGAAGGGTGGACCGTTCTCGTCCCCAAAAGCGGAGATTCGTCGATTCCTAAGAATTACAGACCGATAACATGCTTGAATTCATGTTATAAGCATCTTATACACCGAGTAGTTCGAACAGATATATGAGCAGAGAGGATCGAAGAGAGAAGTCGCTGGATGTAAAAAGAACCTGCTCATCGACAGATGTATAACGCAGAACTCTATACAATATATGCGCAACCTCTCTATGGCTTGGATCGATTACCATAAGGCATTTGATACAATATCGCATGAGCTCATCTTGCTTTTTCTCAGATGCCTTGCGGTACCCGACAAAATAGTGAGATGCATTGAACAACTGATATGGCGAACTCGCTTCACCATAACATCTGGTCAAGTCTGAGTTCAAACAGGGTGGATCACTATCAGAAGGGGTGTATTTCAGGGTGTTTCACTCAGTTCCATTCTCTTCTGCATCTCACTATTGCCATTATCCATTGCGCTCAGAAATACTCGAGAGTATAACTGTGGCATCCCTGGAAACCGGAGGCACAAGGTCACACCCATTTGTTTCATATGGATGATCTTAAACTTTATGCGTCTGGAAAGAAGGATCTCCATCAGTCCTTGTCGGTGGTGGAAGAGTACACGCATGCTATCGGTATGAATTTCGGGATAGACAAATGTGCAATGCTCCATCTCAAAAAGGACGATGCGGGGACTTCGGAGAGGATGTGCAGCTCGAAGATGGAGACATCCTACACCATTTAGATGTAGGAGAGACGCATACTTACTTCGGGGTGGAACAACGCCACTCACAAGAGTTAACAGCAGTGAAGAACTCTCACCGCGGCAAGTATCAGCACAAACTTCGACAGATCTGTATCCCAAATCGTCCATTCCACGGTTGTATATCCCCCGACGACAGGAAGGTCTACATGACAGAATGGTACTGGATGTAGTCTATAAAGTCGTCAGGAGTTCGGATCTCCTTCTCTGCATGGTCCGCGACCATGAGCGATCAGGAATTGGAGCATTCCTCCTTAGGGCAGCTGCCCAAGCAGCTGATGAACTCGGTTTAGTTTTCGACACTGCACGATGTGATAACAACTCTGTAATCAAGTTGAAACCCGTTCAGCAATAAGCTCATAATAAATCCGCAGATGTCACCTCACTTCTGCGGAAACACAAGGATAAGCCAATGCATGAGGTCTTCTTAAATAACATTGAAAACTTCGGCTTATCAAAGCGCCAGACTTTCGCTTTCCTCAGGTCGAGTGGGCTGAAGTCGGAGACTGAGAGGTTCATCATAGCTTGCCAGGATGGTATCTTCAACACTTTAGTCTACCGCAGTCGCGTGATGGATATAGAGGTTCCTGACACAAGGTGCGCCTGCCACGAGACGCCCGAGATCCTAATGCACCTGCTATCAGCTTGTCCAGCATATGCTATATCCATCGGCATAACGCGGCCCTAAGAGTGCTCTATTATCATTTACGGCACTCTTACTGTATTGACGAGACATCGGTATTGCCCTACACTCCGGGGGATATTGAATCCGTTATAGGGAACGAGAAGTGACGAATTTATTGGAACCCTCAGGCTCATACAAGCAATAAGCTGATGTAGTCCTTCTCGACCACCAGAGCAAAACGATATTTATCGTGGAGTTTTCAGCTCCTGGCGAGACAAATATCACCAGAAAAGAGGAGGAAAAACGCAGACTTCGCAGACTCTATCCAAGATGGTTGTTCTGATTATTGGAGTCCTTGGTGCAATGATGCCCTCTCTACTCTCGAATCTTAAAATCATAACGGCTTGCCGCGATAAGGCAGAAATCTTAGCCACACAGATGCAGAAGGCTGTCATTTTTGGCTTACTGCGCTTGCTCAGGGCACATGATTCTCGGACCCAATGATCACTTACCCCACGGTGTGGGGAGTGGTCATTGGTTGATAATGCTGGCGCGCCCTCCCGAATGTATCGGGGCTTCGGGGGATAGGGCCTGACCAGCGCACACTGCGGTGAAAAAAAAAATAATAATATCGTCTTTATTATTTTCAAATACATTTTTCAAGCAAATTAATCAGGTAAAATGTGATTGTTATGTGAAGACAAAAGGCGAAGTTCAATTTGCATGATGACAAGTCATCATTCAACTACTCTTCCACTCAACCTCAATAGTTTACAGTGCAGTGAGATTCATACCATTATTCGAAGAAAATTATTTTTTATGATCATCTGTAAATAATTGATACAACAAAAAATTTCCATTGCAATATCTTGAAAATGATTCAATGCACGTTAATTTCAAAATAGAAAATTCGATAAATTCAGTCTTTCTGTAGCAAGTGCGATGGAAGGAAAATGTTTGTTTACTGTTTTTTCATAATCTGTAACTCATACATTCCTGGCTAGTTCTCTTAAACACAGTCGTATTCAAGCCAATGAATAGTTGCAATGATACACGACCTATAAAGCAACGTATTTACAGAGTATCAAATTGAAAAAAGCCATCAATCATCAATGCATATAATAAGTATGTATCTAGTTGAAGCTGGGATGATTCTGCAACGTTACATGACTGCGAACAGCCCTGATTCTAAATAGGTGGCTCGGGGAGTTATAAACATCACGTACCCAGAACACAAGGCTAATGTAGCGTTTGCGTACGTAATGTCGAAAGAGCACTATCGATTTGGGTGCGGTTTTCACTAATCTATTGAGATAAGCTTCCCGAAATATTCAGTATTTGATTCATTTCAACCGATTCAGTTGATTCGACTGAGACTTGGGTTGACTATATTTACAGATCATTCAAAAGATTTATTATGAATCAAGAATATACAGGGTGTTTCAAATTCGATCCTCACCATTGGGATCTCAGAAACTATGAGAGATACGAAGATGGTTAAATTGGAACAAAGTTGCGCATTTACCTGAATAACAATATGCCGTTGAGAAAGTTCCTGGAATTCTGAGTATATCCGGAGATATCCGGAAAAAACAGAAATTTTGGAAAATGGTTTTTATTTTTTTCTGGCNAACAAACTATGTGGTACTCTATCAAAGGCTCTCGGAAAATCTGTGTACATAGACCTCACGAGAGCGTTATAAAATACTGGTGGTGTACCACCACCTTATTTTTTAAACAGCCCTCGTATGTGAATATTCCAATGATTTGAATGCATATTCGTCTATAGTGACCAACTCTCTCTTTGGAAAGGAGTTTTGAATGCATACAATAAGGAAATAACACAAAAAAACACCAAAAGATTAAAGAACGTTCAAAAATAACTGTTCCAACTTATATTTATCATAAAAAAATTTCATTGGTAGAAAAGAATCATTTTTAACGTTTTTTCATATCTAAATATAGGTGTGGTCAAAAAGTTAACTGCATTCTCCATCGTGATATTTGACGAATACTGGATCTATGGGTACTATTTCAAAGTACTTACATTATTGGTCCTTGAATAAAGTCAAAAAACGAGTTTAACAAATGAGTCAGTCTCTTGAAAACTTCAACATGAAACAGACTGCCCATGTCGAATGTATGTAAGTTCGTCGCCATGGAGAATCGAGTAAAATACAAATTTTCAGAATAGGCGCAAAGTTTCTCGGTCAAGTCAATGGCCTTGCCTTCAATATATCAAGTATCAAGAACGGTAAGGGTTGCTTACTGATCGATAAAATGTCTGAGAATATTACAATAGCGTGTCATTATCAGTTTTCGTATCAATTCAGAATTAAGGTTTTCATTAATAATAGTCATGACGAAGAAAACGTAGATTATTGGGCCGCCAACAGGGGTGGCTTAAGGGATGAGGCTTGATTAAGATTTATTCAACTAGAATCGGTCATGATGAATTAAGAAATCGTGAAATGTCGAAAGAATGAGCAAGACTGCTTCAAATAATAGGTTGTTTCAAAAGATTTGTCTTTTTTAACGAGTCCACTTCAAACTGTTAATATCCAGTGACGGCTCGTGCATTGGAGAACAGGGGAGGCTTAAGTCATATAGACTATACACACACAGAAAAGCCCGCCGGAGGCGCGAAAATTTTTATGTTGTTGCACGCGTTGCTTAATACTGAAGTTAGGGCATGGGCAATGCGTAAAAAGTGCATGAGGAGCTATGGACTTTATTTTAGTTTGTAAACCATTTAAATGGCCGGTCATGACCGCAGCCCCATCATAGGTTTGCGCAATTAACTTTTGCCTAAAATTATAGGTGTCACACGTACGAATTAAAAAATTAAACAAATCGTCAGCTGTGCGTCCAGATGAAACATCATGAAAACCCATAAAACGTTCTACCACATTACCATCTTTGACATATCTAAAAACGATTGAAAGCTGTGATGTACAAGTAATATCGGTAGTTTCATCAATTTCCCATGTAAAAAAAGAAACACTTTCAATCTCCTTGCTTATATTCTCCTTAATAATGTATGCCACACTGTCTATAATAAGCTCATTTTGGATGGTTTTTGAGGTGCCCGAAAAAACGCTACCGTTTAAAAAAACGTATGGCATTTATTATTTCGGGTTAATAGTTTATTCGTTATTCGTTCATGGGCGGTGCGTTTGAGTTTTGTTGATGCAGGATACAGTGTGGTACATACTACTTACTGAGTGATAGTGTTTTTTCGGGCATATTATGTATTTATATTAAAAATTAATGGTAAAGTAATGATACCCAAGCATTTTGAGAAAAAAATTATCATAATTATTTGTCAATATCTTTCAATTTACTGCGATGAATAGCCTCAAATTTTATGGGGAGGCTAAGCCTCCCTTGCCTCCTCTGACGAGCCGCCGCTGTTAATATATCAGTGAATGCTTATTCAATTTAATCGAAATAAGCGCAAGTTGAATCAATGCACTTTTGCCAACATAACGCACGTCGTTTAATTCCGTCAGCATAAAAATTGTGAGTTTGGGATGCGATGAAATCTAGCAAGATCCGACCTCCTCTGTTGACCAGTGCCGGCTGCTGCCAAAGCAATTTTTGGTACATTTTGTCGATTTTCTCACAATAAGACTCTGCTTTGATGGTTTTTCCACGGTCTTTTTCTTGATGAGTATCCGCCTTTAGGGTGTGCTTGGGTGGCTCATCGGTGTCCAACCACTGTCCTGAGCATATCTTTCTGTCGTAGAGATTACACTTTTCATAACACGTGACGATACGATACAAAACAAGATCGTTTTGGTTGTGCAAAAGCAAAGATGAACAGACCTCCAAACGTGACAATTTCTGCCAATCGTAGGGCACCCACTCTGTCAAAAACCGCATGGGAGCTGACGCCAAAAATTAATATCTCCTAAAAATATACCCCTTTGAATGTTATCCCATTATGCATTATTGACCACTCTTACCAACGCATACGCCAAATAATTGAGATTTTTTTGCAAATTTCCTATGTTGGATGGAACTTGTTGATATTTAATGAAAATACAACTGTAGTTTTAATTGATGCTGGCACATATAATATCCTCAGAAACGACCACACCAATTTGTATCAGAAAGAAATCAAAGAAACTTTAACTTGCATCATGACAGTGAAAAAAAGCTAGATTAGTAATGATGAACCCATAACTGCCCTAGCTTTATTCTTCAATCAAGGTACACAAAGAGACCTACCCTATCAGACCAGTGATTTCTTTTGTTACAGCACCTCCAGTGAAAATATCAGGAAAAATATCTCAATCATTCAGAACAAAAGTAATTTTCAGTATGAATTCATTTTTTTGCCGGCAGAAATTTTCATGGATGCTTTGGAACAGAAACTGCTACAACATTGTTTGATGAGCAACATTGTTTCTTTTAACCTTTCTTTTAATTTAAACTAACGATTATCGGATCTGGATCAATGACACAGACGTCAAGCCTTGAAATATAAATAGAAGAAGAAGTTTCATAAGGTTATGTATGTTATGTTTTCGTTTTCATTTTGTAGGTTTTGTTATGACTGTGTGGAAAGTTCAATAATGTAATACTTGCAAGAAAGTAGTACGTCTAATATTGTTTCCTGTGAAAAAAAGTAAAATGAACAAAATTAAAATTGAGGCATCTGAACATGGAAATCAAAATGAAGCAGAGAGTCAATTATTGGACTTGGCAAAGTCTCAAGCACAGGGAATCTCTGATGAGGATATCAAGGCACATATTCCTGATATACCCATAACTGAACTGGTCGCTATAATCAACAAGTGCTTGAGTAAGGGGTGAGAATATATTTAAGGAAAGATGTAGTCATGCACCAGTTTTAGGTCTGAAAAATGCCAAGCTTTTGGATCATTGATTTTCAGTAATAATACTCATTCACGGCATTGTATATATTATATATACTTACTCATAATAACATCTAACATCTGAAACTGTTTGGAAACTGCGCAAGACATGATGCGTACAAACAAATCTCAAACAATCCGAAATAATCTCGGACACTTGGTTAAACCAGAATGCATTTTGAGGAGACCACTGTACCACCTATTGTATATATAAAGAGATGATGACGAGAAAATACTGTTGATCATGTCCATTTTGTTTTGTAGTGTATCCTTGTAGTCAGTTCAAATGTTATCTAACCTCCATCATCAATTATTTAAAACAAATAAATAAAAAAACATCCTAGATAATAACCCAAACAAATTTTCACATGAATGCGCATGAGCAACGGAAACAGTTCTCAACAGTTCAGCCTCGAGAGCAAGAATGATTCAGGACGGTTCAGACAGTTTAGGATCATTTCGCAGTCGAAACCTGAACAGAAGATTCATTAATCCGAACATATCCTCAATGAACGAGAATGCTCTATATCAACTGCCCATGATCCTGACGTCCTAGAACCTGAATTTTGTAGAACCAGAACAAACCTATCATCTACAGCTTGTCAAAACTAGGAAGAGATTTAAGAATTCTATATCTCTCTCTCTCACACAGTGTCCTAACGAACGCGCATCTTAGGGGAGATCCTAAGCCGAGACTTTGAAATCGTTTCCTAGATTTGACAAGCTGTATGTGCATGAGTCCTGTTTATAATAACAAATGATGCCATGAATTCTTACGACTTAAAACTTGCCTTATACAACTTTAGACTCTTGCCTAAAATATATAACCTTTTTCATAAATGTTACTAAAAGTAATTTGATTACAATAAATGAATATTCATGTAGTTTCATGATTATGAATAACCACTATTGTTTCAGAACACTAGAACTATTCAAAAAAAATGGCAAACCATACTACAAATACAAGAACCCTTCAAAAAAAAGCACACCAAAAGGAACTGACAATGAGGAAAAAGTAGTTTACAAAATTATAGAAGAAGCAGGCAATATAGGAATATGGATAAGGGCAATCAGGGTTGCCTCAAATTTAAACGCCATACAACTAAATAAAGTTGTGAAAAGTTTAGAAATGAAGAAACTCATAAAAGCTGTTAAATCTGTATCAGTAAGTTAATTTTTGATCAAAGTTCATAATAAACAAAAACATTAATCATGGTAGTAAAATGCAATAACTCGATTTGACATGATCAGAGTGTGAAACATTAAAATCAATATCTGCAATTATATGTTAAAGATTACAGTGCAAAGACAATGAAATTCCATTTCAAAATATCCTAAGGAAAACTAAATCTTAGATTTCAAGTCTACAGAGTTCTTCCTAGACGCAAAGGAAACTTAATGCTAATAAAAAGAATATTGTCATAATCACAGGGAGGGAACTTGAAATACTGAAAGACCAATTCTCACAGACCACTTTCAACTTTGGTTAACAGAACACAAACACACCATTGGTAAAACTGAAAATGTAATGTAATAGTTAGGAGGTACTAATCAATTTTTTTATAAAATCATAAATAATGATAATATGCATAAATATTTAAATTATACTTAATATTACTCCTCTTTCACTTATATCTGACCTAGTTTGTAACTTACCAATAATTTTTGAAAAACACTTCTTTTAGGAGAGTAAGAAGAAAGTATATATGCTCTATGATTTGGAACCTGATCGTTCAGTCACAGGGGGCTCATGGTATCAAGGTCATGACTTTGAATCAGAATTTGTTGATGTCCTAAATCAACAATGTCACCGTTTCCTAGTAGAAAAATGGGAGGAAGCGAAGAAATTCGGTGGAGGTCCACTGTTGATAAAAAACCGAAGTTACGCCACTGCAAGTGATGTTCACAAGTTCATTTCGGAACTAGGAATCAGTAAAGTCTCGCTAACAGTAGATGATATTGAAAGTATATTATACACAGTTGTTTTGGATAACAATGCAGAGAGAATTGTAGCTACAAACGGATCCTACTTGTACAAAGCTGTGAACCGATTTATTTCAGCAACAGGTCTGGTTCAAGCCTCATGCGGTATTTGTCCTTTGGCCAACAGATGTGCTGATACAGGACTAGTTAATCCTAAGGCATGTACTTATTTCACCGATTGGTTAAACCAATAAAAATATTCACTACAAGTGTTTGTTTCATTTATAAACATGGAATCTGCATTGAAACATTTTGCATATACAGTGACACCACTGAATGGATTTGGATTTTTTCATTCATAGATATAATTCAAAGTTGATTTTGCAGTTGACTTTTACTCGAAAATTGTCTAAATATTAGCTCCACTTCAGTTGTCACATTTTATAGTCCACCAATTTTTTTTATACTCCACCAAATTTCAGCTCTCTATTGTCACTTGTAGTTTTTACACTTTTTTAGTACTTTCACATTGTTTATGACATTTCTGATTGACAGTTACTTGACAACTTTGAAGTATTTACAGATATAACAAAACAGTGGTGTTACATAACATATACAAACAGGATCAAAATAGATATAAATCACTTTATTGGAATTATAAACACGTTCTACTGAATTTAAAGGAAACATTTTGCAATACCTTGTCCAGAAAATTGTTTTGTTGACCTGTTACCAGAAAAATTAATAAATGCACTTCCAAAAATTCTATATTGAAATTTAGTTAGATTTTTCTGGGCCATTTCCAAAGGCAACCCTATTTTTTGAAAATTTCTTTAAAAAATGACAAATTTGAAAATTCCAAGCAGAAACTGCCAGGTCATATTTCAATTATGTCTAACAATAAAAAATCCCATATGGTGTAGACTTTAGTGGTGTCAATCAATCAAAAGTTCCTTTGTCAGAAGAATTACATCTCTCGGTAAGAAAATTTGTATGTATATGAATATAATGAAATAAATAACAATGAAACAAACTCTACTATATAAATACATTATATATATCTAAAGTTAATTCTGAAGAATGTATCAAAAAGTACGGAAGAGCAGAAAGGTCAACCTATTTTCATTATTTGTTTCTTGGAAATTACGACGTTGAATTTCGACTTTATTCAAGTAATTTAGAAATTACAACTTAAATCTCCGTAGAGGAAAGATACATTCATACAAGAAAACAAATATTTCAAAATGGAATCTGGAGAAACGTTCACCTCTCACAACGTACCTACATGTATTCTGGTAAAATAACTTCTTTCCCGGCTAATACCACGCTGGACATTGAATTATATCCGACAGACATTTATGCAAGTCTTGTTAGTGTTAGTGCCTGGGACTTGAATAATTTCAACGCGGCTAGACTGCATGTACGAAACCTTCAACAGCTCCATCTTGTAAAGAGAGCCGCAAGCAGGAAAGAAACATTCCAGATGATGGGCCAAAAGCCCGAAACACGTGTCTATAGTTTGCCAATTTCTTGAGTGATATGTCCGATTAATAACTTCTATTTCTATATCAAGACTAAATTCTATATCTGGCTGAATAGCCAGAAACACGTTTCTGCGGTTTGCCCACTTTTATATGAGTGCTTGTCCAAAAAATTCCTTCTCATTGATAATACCATATTCACTCAAGATACCATCCATCATGTTTAATTTATCTTGGACCCGGATGTTGGGAGTTAGTCCTTGTAATCACAAGGTCTTCCAACGTAGACACGAAATCGCAGTTGGCCCCTGATGGCGAATAAAGGGTTGAAATTGTTTTATAAATTTTGGTAGAAATTCTAATACTTTTTATGTCACGAAATATATTAAGTAATTTAGGGGTTAAATTTGGAATATATCTTATAGAATAATTATATATAATTTGATTATTCTCATTAGAANACCTGCTTATAAGGATAAATGTGAAAAAATAGTAATGTAGCCCCTACCGGTAGGTAGAATATTCCAGAATGTTCATGCATCTTTCACATTATTTAACAATATTTCACAACATTCTAGTATGTTTCGGAATATTGTGGAATGCTCCCCAGTACTATAGAATGTTCTGGACCATTCTGAAAATTTCTGACAGGCAAAATTTTTTGCCTACTCGTTCCGGAATGTTTTCAAACATTCCACATCATCTTCGAAAATTTCATCACATACCAAAATCTAAAGACATGAATTTTAAATGTTCAATCCAGTCTCGAATATACCTACATAGTAGGTTGAATGGACTGACGCCTATCAGAAAACAACTACTCCACTGGCTAATACCACGAACGGCGTTGGATTATATCCGACAAGCGGCAGTGCAGGAATCTTCACAGAAAATTTTCTGCATATGCAATTGGCAATACAACTGAAAGAGTCAACTATTTCAGTTATATGGTTGAACTTTTGCAACAACTCAACAAAGATCAAGTTACAAAAATTCTACGTCATTTTGACATCGACAATAATGGAGCAGTATCAGATTTGAAAATCAAATTAGAAGCAGAAATCATCAAGAGATATCCCGAGTTTGCGAATCCGAAAGACTTTGACTTCACAACTCTGCTGAATCTATTATACAATGATGAGTGTTCAACTAGTGCCTCAACCAATCGAGATTGTATTACAGCGAGAGTGGACAGTATTGAATTTTTATGCATCCAACTTATGGAACAGTTAAAAAATACCTATAAGAAATAAGAACATTTCAATGAAGAAAAGAACAATAAAGCTACTTTCAGTCACGACATACTCAGTCCAGATGAGAATAGATTGAACCAAAGAAAACATTGCGATTTATGAGTCAATAAAACACTTCAGTTTCATGCTTGAAGGACGTGAATTTGTAATATATTCTGATCATAAACCTTTGATGTTTATCAAAAATTCAAAGTGAATAAATATATTGTTACTCCTGTCGGCAAGTACAATATCTCAAACTCAAAGTTTGAACACATCACTATTGATATCGTCGGACCTTTGCCACCTTCAAATAGTTAACCACAACTGGAATAACCACAGATCAAGAAAGACAGTTTGAGAGTTCCTTATTCTCTGAATTTTCCAAAATAATGGGTTTCAATCACTTGAGAACTACACCATACCATCCAAGTTCTAATGGAATGATTGAAAGGTTCCGCAGAACTATGAAAGCTGCTCCCAAATGCCATTCTGGAAAGTTGTCCGAGGATCTATCAACAATTCTTCTTGGTATACGAGTTACACTGAAAGAAGATTTAGGTGGTATCAGTAGCGCTGAGATGGTAAATGGAATGACCCTGAGAATCCCTGGAGAGATGGTTGTTGAAGATGCAAGATTCAACCCTAATCACGAAGAATTTTTAAACAGCCTCAAGAAGAAAATGAAAAATGTCGATGAACAACTCATTTGATTTGAATCTTCAATAGTTCACTATGACACATACCATGTCGAAGTAAAGACAGATTTAGAAGGGTCGAACATTATTTTTATAGCAAATTCGTTTTTTCATTATGTTTATAGTGATTCTTATAAATTTTGAATACAAAACACGGTAATGAAATGAAAAATTTCGGAACGAGTTTTTTATATAACTTCATTCATCCAAATCATTCTCAATAGCAAACTACCTCAGATCAAGATCTTCAAATGGTGTGGTGCTGCAGGTTTTTCCGGGTTTTCCTGCAGCTGAAAAAGCAAATGCGCCACTGGAATCAATTAAGTCGCCCCGGAGCGGCAATTAATTTTTGTTGTTTCATAATTTCATGATTTGTGAACATATTATTGGAATGATTAGATATGAATAGGTACTTCTGATGGTAATAATAGAAGTGAGGTACGTTTCCTGTATATTTTCGCATTATCATATTCCACTTCGGCTTCATGAAATAAAGAATTAGGTTATGTCAAAAGTTTTGTCCGTTTTTATAAGTCTCATTTGAACTGTAATATCTAAGTGAATACTTATTTAATTTAAATCTAAAAAAAAGAGAAATTTAAATGTTCAAGCCCGTCTCGAATATACCTACACAGTAGGTTGAATGGACTGACGCCTATCAGAAAACAACTACTCCCCTGGCTCTCCAGAAAATTTCCTTCATATGTAATTGGCAATACAACTAAAAGAGTCGACCTTCAATTTTGGAACGGGCACACTTGCAGACCGATTTCGGGCTCCTTAGCCACTCGTCAGTGCAAGATAGTGGCCACCATCGACCTAAAGTCAATGATATTCCATAATTGAAAATCGGAATTCTTTCAGAGTATTTCATTCCTCTTTGACAAC